TCTATCCTTCACTTCATATTTCTATGAGTTTCAACGGGTTAACAAATTAATTGAAAGGTTATTTCATCCGAAAAAAATAATTCGCCCGTTACTTGCTAAAAGTAACACGAGTAACGGATTTCCATTAGCCGTTACCGGTAACTGGTAACGGATTTTCGTTGCCGTTACTTGTAACAGGTAACGGCTTTCCATTACCCGTTACTGGTAACAGGTAACGGCTTTCCATTACCCGTTACTGGTAACAGGTAACGGGTTTACGTTACCGTTACTGGTAACAGGTAACGGGTTTCTGTTACCCGTTACAGTAACGATAACGGGAAAGTGCCACCCCTACTGCTAAGATCGCCTCTTCCATCCTCTTGTTCCAGCATTTATATGCACTTGGAGGTATTTCCGTTTGATTGTTCTTTGCCAGTGATACCTGGAAGTGTCTTAGTGGCTGAGATTGTTTACCAGCATAAACACAAAATATTCGTGATCCGTTATTGTAAAATTCACTTTAGCCCCTGTGGCAAGTTCTTCCACAAAAATACTTCACATGGTACTTTTTAGTGTTTTGTTCATTCAATCCTAGAAGAAAAGTACAAGAAAAATGTGCTAACATTAGCTATCGCCAACAGAAATTATGTTATTAGAGCACAGACATAAACGAGGTTTTCAAAAATATGCCCATACAGGAAAATTGTCGAAATACTAGGCCTATATCATCATTTTCACCTATCTTAACATTTTAAAGCAATACTTCCTGAATTCATCTACTAAGAAGCGGAATGTTTTACATATAGAGAACTTTTCGGGCTTCAAAATGAGTTATGAATAAGCCTTTCAAAAATATGCCTGCATGGATCAATAGTCGGAATACTTGGCCGATGCCATCATTTTCATCTATCTTAGTGCTTTAAACGCACCTTTAGTCATTTTTCTGTCGTAAAAAAGAATTATATATTTCAAAAACATACCATTGGATAGCCCTTTAAATTCTCTACAAAATGAGCTGGTCGGAATATCCAGACAGTTGGGACGAGTCATTAACGATATTGAATGGCCACAAAGGGCGTTAAAAATACCAAAACATTCTTGTGACAAAGCCTTATAGACCGCCTGGAGATGTCTTATATTCATCTGAATTCTCTGTTCTATCAGGCTACTCTATCAGGGCTTCTTCATTTTCTAGCAGAAGCCCTTCCCCGTCATTTTGTATCGCTATTAGGTGCAATACAACGAATTTATTTCGTGTGTCGCAAAGTATTTCAAGAATGCAACGTGAGTCCCTTCCATCGAATGTGCTTTTGCGAACAGCCGTTGAACGTTAAAAGTTGCAATCGTGTTCGTAATCGAACTGAGCGCTTTTGTCTTAATTCAGATGCCGTAATTGTTTGAATAATTTCGAAATCGACACCTGTTCATTCTATCGATTTACTTTGAGTTTTTCTGTCGATTCCTAGCTAGACTTCAAAAGAAGAATATTCCCGTGGAACTGCATCATGACTCGAAGGTAAAACAAGTTTTTTCATACCACATAATATTGTGAAGCTCATAAAGTATTCTGATTAATTTACCTCGTCGTAAAAACAGCTAGGAATCGATGTATATTTTGCCTGAAATCAATTCCGGTAAGCTCATAACTACTTCTAAATCTCAACATTTTCATGAAATATAGCGGAATTGATAACCTATACGGGCGTAATGCTAACGTATTGTATGTCTCAGACAATGTCTGCCATGTGAGAATGATAATAAACAGAGAGGTCGGCTTTGTCTTCATAGCAATAATTTCTGTATACCTATCGTTATAGTTTGACCACAGTGGTTTCTAGTTATACGGCCAACATTTTTCTTTTTTTCCATCCATGTTTCGTTCCGTTTAGTAATGGCTGGACATGAAACAACATCGAATTTAATGACATGGACTTTGTACCATCTAACAACGAACCCAAATGTTTATTGTCAATGTCAACAAGAAATCGATACTATATTGAAGGGTCAATTACCAACAAGTGAAACATTATCAAAACTAGTCTACACAGAAGCTGTTTTAAAAGAATCTTTGAGATTACATCCACCAGTGGCAAATATTGTTCGTACTGCAATTGAAGATAATACAATTATTGATCAAAATGGAAAACAGATTCATATTAAAAAAGGAACAGATATTTTATTGAACTTTTTTATGTTACATCAGTACGTATTTATTTATCATTGTGTCACGGGCCATGTTTTTGTTTCTTCATCTTTGTAGTTCTGAAAAATATTGGACAAATCCATGGACCTTTGATCCAAGAAGATTTTTAGATGGAACTCTTGAACCTAGTATATTTCTTCCGTTTTCGGCTGGTCCGCGTTCATGCATTGGACAAAATTTTGCCATGTTAGAAGCTAAAATAATGTTGTCAATGATTGTGCAACGATTCGATTTAGAATTTGTAGAAGGACAAAAAATTGTTCCTGACGTTACAATTACGATGAGGTATTGGCGAAGAAGTGTATCCATTAAGTTACTTTACACATAATCATTGTATTTTTTAGGCCAAAATATGGTTTATTCATGAGAATAAAACTTCGAAATCAAGCAGAATGTATACCCTGAAAATCAATATACAGAACCGAGATTTTCACTACCGAGACATCCATAGTTTGTGCTTTATTTCCTATGATTTATAAAATATGACGTAAACAGAATCTTTTAGTATGATCAAAGTGAAAAACTCATGTAGTATCAAAACTTCTACATCCACTTTCACTTGACACTCATAGCAGAATAAACACTCAAAGAAGATTCTAAAGAATCGATAAGCTGTCTTCATCCATTCCGCGGCGCACTAAATGTTACAGTCCTCAGGTCTGTAGCTGGAAAATGTTTTCATTGTTCGAACGTTTCAAGTGGCCTGAATCAAACATACTGCAACAGAGAAGTGACTTTCAAAGACATATTAATCACAGAATGACCTTCGAATAGCAAATGGGCATTATTGCTGCTAATAACATTCAATGGTGTTACAGAGCACACTGTTTTAACCACGAGACAGAACAAATAGATTAATTTCAAGGAGTGAAACTAGTACCACAACTATTTGATTCGTTTAGATCTAATCAGATCATATTTTCTACATTTGTTTTTGGTATGTTTGGTCGTTTCATTACCAACATGTCCGAATTCTTTTCCAAGTAGCTGGGCGTTTGACTAATTCATCTGCGATGTTGACAGCTACCATAAGACACTGATTGATGCATATTTAAGCCGTTGAGGGTAATCATTTTAAGAAAAATTAACTATTATATATTATTCAATAAAACAAATATGATTAGACAAATTTTGGTTCTTCATGAGAATCTCTTGACTTTT